TATATATATATATATATATATATATATATATATATATGCATTGTAAATGCTCTAGTTTTGTATTTTTCATGTATTTTATTTGAAGAAAAACAAATACAATTTAATTTCTTAGGTGTTTAAAACCTCCCATGCAGTCCATTTTCATACCCCATAACATTCAAATGAAATGTCTTAGTTTTAACTTTCTTGCAACATACAAACCCATATTTTAACTCTGCAGCTTTCAACTACAACAAACAATTCCACAATGTGTTGGAGGTCAGCAAAGCAGACTACAATGCATGCACCAATCATTCTACTTTAGCAATGTATTTCTCCGGCAAAGACTCCATCACCATTAAAACCGCCGGGCACCACTATTACATCTGCGGCGTTCCCGGCCATTGTCAGCTAGGCCAGAAAGTTGACATCTTTGTTGGAGGCGGCAAAGCTTCCGCTCCTTCCTCCTCTGCTGCCCCTTCTCCCTCTGCGTCGCCGGCTTTCGCACCAAGCACGGGACCTTCGTCGAGCAACTCGGCACTCGCACCAAGCACCGGTGCTCACCTGTCAACGACATTGGCGATGATCATCGGGGTTATGGCGATGGCAAGTGCTACTGTATTGATAGGGTTTTAGAAATTAGGGTTTTGGAGTTTTTGTGCGTGTATGTTTGATAATGTGAGAACCATTTTAAATTGAGTTTTAATTATCAGTAGGTTGTGGGAAGTTGTTTGTTATTGACTTGAGAAAACTAGTGTTTTTCTTAATATATGAGGGAAAGACAACTTATTATGTTGAGGAATTTATCAAACTTGGAGAAGGGTTACTTGAAATTCTATTATATCTGCATTTTAGATTCATTTTCAAATAGACATTCATGCTTTTTTTATTCTTTGTGAAATAGATTTTTGATTGACATATTTGGACATGTAATCAATCAACAACAACAACAACAACAAAGCCTTAATCCCACTACGTGGGGTCGGCTACTTGAATCCTTTTTCTCCATTGCGTCCTATTTAGTGTCATATTTTCGTTTAGTTCTAGTAAGTTAAGATCATTTTTAATACGATAAGCCCAAGTCTTCCTAGGTCTACCTCTGCCTATCTTAACACAAGTCGAAATCAAAATAGAAAGTTCAATAATACTAGTTATTTATCTAGTATTATTGGACATATAATCAATAATACTAGATAAATAAAATAGCTAGAAAACGGAATCAAAATAGAAAGATCATTTGCATGCATATCACATAGTTCCTATATATTTATGTTTTCGACTCGGCTTTAATTTTTATTTTTATAGCACTCAAATCTTTCATATCACATAAAAATATCACCTTTACTAGTTTTAAAGTATAAAAAAAAAATTTATGCATATTTAAAGTGCTAGAAATATAAATCCAAAAGAGATGTCGATGAATTTACAAATTAAAGTCCACTGCTTGTGTTTTGTCTACAAAGAATGATAGCCAAGCTTTATATGAAAATGATCAACAGAGTGAGAAGGAATTGCCTGCAGAAATATTCAAAAACAGATTGAAATTAAGGTTAGTTTTATAATTTTGATGAACGTATAATTTAGTATTGAGAAATTAACTATTAAGATTAGTTACTATGATTTTGTAGGTAGAAATTGAAGTTTAAATGGTTGATTTGTTAAAACTTTTAGGCCCCATTTGGGAGGTCGTTTTCGGTAATCCCACTCCTCTATCATCTCTATGATCATAAATACTCCTCGCCCCTCCTCCTTTGTCACTTGTGTCATTAGGGCTGAAGACTAGTTCCGCTCCCCTCCCTCCGTTGACTGCGCCGTCGATTTGCTGCCTACCACCGGTAAAGTTTTCTTTTTTATGGATTTTTTTTTTTTTGGTTTATTTGTTGCCAACATTTCTGTTTTTCTATTGTCTTTTAGGACAATTTTTTGTGTGCTTGTTTTGTATATGCATCCAGTGATGTTTGATGATCGATTCTTTCCAATGCATATGTATTGGAATTGCTAATTGAATTGTAGATATTTTAATGCAAAGTTGAAGTTTACACGGCAGATAATTTAGCATTATCTAAAGTTAACTTGATCAACTAGAAGAATTAATAAAATGAAATATATATGATTCTACGACTATGGAATCTTCATTATATGGAGCTACAAAAGCATTCCCCAAGTATATGAAACTCCCCATTTAATTGGTCTACCAACAAAAGCAAACCCGTAATGATATTTTCGTGTAAACTTGTTTAACGAGTTCTAGCAATAGAGAAAATTTCTTAACGTTTAGTAAGGTGGTTTGTAGATATAAATTGAAGTTTTTGTATTAGCTAGGTATTATGTATATTCATAAGAGCTTAATGGTATGCATGTAAATCATGCACTTTCTGTGTTAGTTTTGTGCATACATAATATTTGCGGCGGATTTGAGTTATATGCATAGGTAAGGTTGTATGTAGGTATGAATTGAAGTTTATGTGTTAGGTTTTTTATTTTTGTTTTAGACATAGTTAAGATATGTTTGTTGTTTAGATTTTGCACATTCCTTCTTTTATTTGTGTATACTACTCCTAATTATTTTTGCTATTAGTCGTGTTATAGATGGTCACAGGTAGTGTCGGTGATCACTAGCCTTAACGGATGAATGTAAGAAAAAAATTGATTTTTCCATATTTATTTTGATTCTTAATGTTTAAAATGACAATTAATAATTGGTTTTTATTATGTAGGAGTACAAGTAGCTTTGGAAGAGGTAGTTGCCCTCCTAAACCCTGAGCACTGCCAGCAGTAATGGAAGTCAATCTACCACTGCACAGTCTAAGTTAGAACTATGAACGTAGGCGGCGGGGAAGAAGAAGGTCGAGATCTTTCATGCTTCTGGGTGACAGGAGCTCGTCACAATCGAGTACTGCAGAGCTTGTCAGGCAAGTAGTTGTTAGGAGTGAGAAGGTTCGCCATCTACATGAAAACCAATAGAGAATTGAGTGTAGTATATAATTCTTGATGGAGATTATAGAAGATCGTTGGGGCAAGCGAATGGTGACTGATGTAGTTGAGGAGAAGGATATGGAGGGGGATGAGTAGGAGGATTGGAAGAAGTTTTTATATATTTTTAATTTATGAAATGTTTGAACTTATATTGATCAGTTTGTAAATGTAAAATTTTAATATTTAGATCTGTGACAGTATTTTCTTTTACAGTATTTATATTTTTAAGAGCTTTGAACTTTGATATAGTTGGATATAATGTTGTTGTAATGTAGATTAATCGATAATTTTCTTGTATTGAGACATAGCTCTTACTCTTGCTTTTTCTGCTTTTAGGCATAGTTGTGACTTGTGTCTTATCTTTACTGCATTGTTTCTTTCCACGTATGATTATTTTTTATGTCAGTATTTCTATTTTTAATGTCATTCTTTTGTTTGCAGATGGCCATAGGTGGTCAGCCACTTCATAAACCCCATGTTCTGAGGAGTCTTGAGATCATCTACTGTAGCATGAAGAAGATGTCGTCTACTCCTACCGTTGCTTCCACTACCACTACACCTATGACACCTCCGCATGTTGCTGTTACACCTTCCATGGCACAAGTCGAACCTTCGGTGCAAGAAGGGAACTTTCAGACGAACAAGTACAACACTTCTGAGGGATATGACTTCGAGGAGATGTTATAGTTAAGAAAGGAGATTACTGATGCTTTGGTGAATACAACGATTATACTTATATAGTATCACCTAATTATTCGTAGTTGATGATTCATATTTCATTTCAATGTTTTTCTATGGATGTATTTTTTAAAATATATATATAGCAATCTATATTGTACCTTTCTTTTTTAGTACAGCTAAACTTTAATTCTTAATTTTAAAAAACTTATATTTTTTTAGATTTTCTCGAGTGTTGTATCAACTTATTTTTTTTTAAATTAAAACAATATTGTATTATAAAAATATAAAATATGAGATCGAGATCATCAAGCACTTCGAAAGTTCCACCCTATTATTGTGGGGATAACTGTGTTCAGTACCAGTCTAGAATGGAAGGCAGCTACAGTAGAAGATTTTGCTCTTTTCCCAGAAATATGATTCATGCAGATTGTGACTTCTTCCATTTGGTTGATGACAATGGTGAGATCCTTCCAAATTGTGATCAGTCAAGAAGAGATGCAAGGATGAAGAGGAGATTGTCCCGAAAACTTAATCAGGACTTCAAGACAAACACCATTCTAGACTTGATGATTATCGTGATTGTCCTCATTATTGTAGTCATTTGCTTCAAATAACTTATAATTTTTTTTATGTATTAGAGTATTTTGGATTGGACTATAGTGTTTTAGGACCTATTTCTTAGCTCTGAAGATTCTAAAAATTTCACTTAATTGAATGTATTCAATATATAAGGGCAAAACAATCTTTCTCATCAAAAACAGTAGCAGTACAACAGATCTCCCAACCAAACACATGCCTCTTCATTAGCAACTTTTTAACAGCTAAAAAGTTGCTTCTCGAGGAAGCTGCCTCACAAAAACTTCTTGAAAAAGCAGTTGCCGCCCCAAATGCACCTTTGGTCATGCATGCCTTCTCCCCAAATCATAAACTGAAGAGGGCAGGCCCAATGGAAGTGACACCAAAACTAATAATGGGCAGCTGACTGTATATCGCTCATTCATGGAGAGATCCAATATAAATGAAAATCATTTCAAATAATATAAACAAAAATTGTGCTATAAATGAACACCAAACAGACTATGTTGCACCACTATCCGACCAGACATGATAATATTATGGAGAAAGGAAGAGAACCTGCATCTGGTTGGAAAGAACGCTCTTTGATAAATAAAGAATATTATTCTACAGAAAAAAACAATGAAAGCTGCATGGCCAGTGGCAGCGGACAACCAAGTTTCAGTTGAATAATTAAGCTGCAAAAACGTAAATATATTCATAATAAATGAAATAAGCAATAGTGTAAGCTGGAAGAAGTGCGTATGTCAAAAAATCACAGATGTTCCCCCCAATTATTATGTATTTACATATCTAACACATAAACTTTACTTCCTACATTTATACTACACAAATCTTTGATATAACAAAAAAAATATGATCATTATAACTTTAAAAAGTGAAATACATGCTTTCATGCATAAGGTGGCATGTATGTAAGAAGAACTTTAGATGCTGCATATGCAAATACATCAGAATAAAGAGAGATACATGTAAATCTTCCTAAAATAAAATAGGCTGCAGGCACAAGATTTTAATGAAAAACTAAAAAAAAATGGAGAGAAATTAGAAGGCCTACTCTAAACAAGAACGTGGAGATGATTGAGTGCAGTAGTCAAGGTGATCATCGTTCTAGTTCTAGAGTAGATGACACGAGAAATTTGCGCCGGAGCGTAAAGATTAACATAAGGGTGTGGGAAAAGAATGGATCAGCCAAAGTCAAAAAGGTTATAAGTTAAAAAAATAAATAGCAAAATTTAATAAAATACCAATCCACCTCATCAATGTTCAATAAGGATTTATGAATCCAAGCCAAAAAACTAGCCAAGGTTGGTAATGACAATTAAGATGAGCGGTCAAAAAGAGCATATAGCAACTCTCAGTGGGAACAATTTGAAAATAAGGATTTATTAAACAGACATCAGATAGTATTGGATAAGGCTAATGGAGCTTGCAGACAATAAGGAAAGAAACTGAAAGATTAAAGCAACAACACTCAAGAATAAGCCTACAGAGAGACATACAAGTAGGGAAATATTTTCAGCCCCAAAAAAAAAAAAAAAGGACTATCAAAATGGTTCTCTGGCTCTTTGTGGGGGTCATTTTAGTCCCAGAGTATACAAAATGCCAATTTAATCATTAGGCTCTTTTATGATGGGTTGAAATAGTCCTCAGCGAGGACTACTCTTATTCTTTGCAGGGGGCAGTTTAGTTATAAAGTTTATAAAATTGTCAATATAATTCCCAAGCTCTTTTAATAGGACTTGAAAAGGTCCTTAGCAAGGACTCTTTTAGCCCGCATTAAAATAGTTTAGCGATTACTTTAACACTTCTATAAATTCTGGGACTAAAATAGGCCCCTGTAAATAGTCAAAAGGACTATTTTGGCACTTTACTCAAAAAATAAATAAATAAATAAATCATACAAAAATAGATTCTCTACAAAGATAACCAACAAGAATGCAAAGTACAGCAACTTACCATCAAGATTTTGAAAATCCTCCATGATCCTTCTCAACATGCTCAACCAACAATACTGGGTCCCTAAACGCTTTGCTACACCTGGGGCAAACATCAACTATTACTCTACTGGGATGTGCCTTCTCTACATGCTCAATCAGAGCAGCAACATTGGTGAATCTTGCTTCACATCGAATGCACCGTTCAACAAGATCACCACTACCACTGCTGCCCTGACCCGTTCCATCTTTTGCCTTCCGCAGAGCTTCGTTAGTCGCGATGCCCAGTCTCTGCATGCCAGCTTCAGCAGAGGCCCTAATGCTTGATGCAGCATTGAGTATGCTTGAACTCCATTTTGAGGAGCCATTTGAGGTTGGATTTGGCTTAGAATTACCATTCTGGTTCCTCCTCAAACCACCTAAGAACAGAAGGCCAGTATCAGGTTTTCTTGGTCCAACGCAGTTGTGGTCGGGGCCAAATCTATGTCGCAGGCAGTGCTCTTGGGTGCAGTCCTTGCATCGAATCGTGTTTGAAAAAACTAATATTTCTTTGCATCCAGGAACAGGACACCGTTTCTTCTTGGTTGTTTTCTGATAATTTGATGGGTCACAGTTGCCATTTACATGAAGATCCCAAGTGATGTTTGGATCTTCATTTGGAACAAGACGGACCGATTGAGCACAAAGTGGACAGATGAGCACAGTTACGTCCGTTTGGTTAGCGTTCGGACATGTGTGTTTGGCATAACTTCTGTGTTGCAGACAGAATACCTGTTCCACGGTTAACAAAAGAACATAAAAAACAGCATTTACATACATGCATACCACATAATTCTTATGTATTTACATATCTAGCAGCTATACTTTGCATTTTATATTTATACGTGCAAGTCTTTCATATCACATCAAAAATACCACTATTATAACTTTTAAAAGTGAAATACACATTTTTCATGGTAAGGTGGCATATATGTAAAAATTGAAGTTTAGGTGTTAAGAAATGTAAATACATCCGAATTGAGTGACATGTACATAAATCTTCGAAAAAAAACGAAAAACAGATGAGCATGCAAGATCTGCCAATCTATATATAGCTCAATTAGCATCCGCTGAATACGTGCAGCTCATTTGGGCAAAACATAGTCTAGGCATACTAAGACTAAAATATCTTCCTTGAGTCAATAAAGGGATAGTAATTCATTCATGTACTGTTGTTGGACAATGAACTTAAATGAACCTCGATCCAACATGGTCAAGGGAAAGAAATTCATTCCTTTATCTTTCTGTATAATATCAAATGCCACCTTTAACCTAAAAGAACGAAAATTTTATACCGCGTTTGCAAGAAAAAAGTTAATATTTACCCTAAGCATATTTAGGGAAATCATATCCTGACATGGATATGTTTTCCCCAAAAAACCCCTTAAAAAATGGTAACTTGAGAGGTTAATACCACAATAATCTCCATGCATAAGCATTTTTATAATAATATTCAAGAACAAAGATAATATTCAAAATTGCATAACTGTATAGAAATCAAACTTATAGAGTTATACAAGAAAACTGTAGAAGAGAGCAATCGAGCATACAGATAAAAATTATGTCAAATTTGGAGAAAAAGCTCGGATGCATTCCAAAAAAGCTACCATGAAAGCGCTTTTCATGCCAAAACAATTAACTGAGACATAAGCACTTGAGCGCATCCCACGCCCGCCAATAGTCACTACATTGCCACACCTAATATTATCAACAAGAGCTTATTACAATAATGGATTTAGCAATCCAACCACCAAATTGTTGCTCTGGAGATATCATCTCCTCCGGGAGGCTTTATCACCAATTAATCTAGTTCAAAATCAAACCAAAAGTCACACTCAAGTCTAAGCCCCAGCCCAAATGAGTGGGTGATGTAGGTCAAACCTCACCATAATTTCCAGGAATTTGTTTGAGGATGCAACGAGAAGCTTTCAAGAATGACGACTTCGAAAATGAAGGCCCTTGCTAACGATGTCAGTGACCTAACGCCTTTACCAACGATGTGCAAGCTTGATATGGTGAATCAAGATCTAAGGCAACTCCAACGACTCATCTACCAGCACATTCAAAGCTCCCTGATTCATAGGACTGATACAATCATCAAAGAAACACGTATTCTAAGTCCGATTCAAATATGAAGCCTTCGCTATTGAAAACCACCCCAAGGGATGCTATTGGCTTAAACGAGCATAAGAAGCTTTTAAGGCGGATATCTATGTCTAAGACCATCTTGTTAGGAGCAAGCAGTGGAAAGCTTTTTCGAATATATGGATATCTGCTAAAATCAACAAGTCAAATATGAGCCAGCAAGTTAAAACGTGGTGTCTGCGTGCGGCGGATTCGTTTGGTGCAAACTCAGAAGAGAAAAAGAAACTTGCAGAAGAGCCACTTCCTCCCATTGAACCATAAACAAATGTTTTATCTCCAATATTAGGAGTGCACAAAATGTTTGCATTTCTTTGGAATGTATCCCAAAGAATTACATCACCTTAGTGCACAAAATAACTTGAATGAAACCACACAGCAATTAGTCATAAGGTAAATCGATGGGCTAAAGAAATCCTACAATATAAATTGGAGATGAATTCAATTTACAACCTCTTTCAAGCACTGAATTTTACATAAAGGTAGAAATCCAACTTAATCAGAACTTCAAACCCACAAACAATGGACATCTTGTTCTGGAACATAGCAACAAAAGCCACAAAAGAGTTTCCCTGAACAACAAGGTGTGCCCCCTTCAATCCCAAACGCCTGCATGTAAAACAGGAGACCCTATTGCACTGGCAAAAATTGGATACAATCAAAAGAACTAAAACAAATCCAGACCTTCAAAATGCTTTGATCCTAAACAACGGGGACACCACATGCAACAACTATAGTTCCTACAAACAAGAGTAAGAGGATGGGGATCATGGGCAAAATCCATTTAAGGGCTAAAAATTTGAAGCATACCTGGAGGTGTTTGGAGTTCTTATGAATAATTGGAAAGGTTCTACTTGACCTAAAACAAAAAAGAAAATCTTCAAAACTAAGTGCAGAGTCAATGGGAAGGTGATAACTTTTAGTGGTCAGTGAATGCACTAAAAATATTATCTACAGCAGCATTGTAAAAGCACTTCAATTGAAAACTACCAAGCATTCCCACCCATACAAAATCAATTGGATTAAAATGGGGTCAAAATTTTGCACCAAATGTGTAGGGTGACCTCAATTGGGAAAAAGTTTGTAAGTGAAGTTTATTGTGATATCTTGAAAATGGATGCATGTCACTTAATTTTTGGGGAAGTTTTCCTAATTGACATAGAAGATTGTCATGATTACCATGCTAATGAATGTGCTGGAGTGGAATGGGAAGAAAATAAAAACTATGAAACTCTTTAATCCCACCGACTGCAAAGAATACCAACATCAATTCTACAACTTTTTCCGGCACCATGGGATTCCATGCTCCGAGATGCTTAAGGAACTAAACATGTTTTCTAGTTCATTAGCTGAACAAAAGTCTGGGAGTATCAAAACTCCAAGTGATAACATGTCTCTATTGAAGCAACTTGCTGAGATAGCCTTGCCAAAATTACCAAGCCACCTTTCACCTCTATGCATAATGTTCAATGTCAAATTGATTTAATTCGTAGATCCACCATTCCTAATCTACAACAATACAAAATGACCCAAAACAGCATAAAATATTCCAAAAAGATTGTCTATAAGCATCAAAAAAATAAAAAAACAAATAAATAAGTCAGTCACAATAGCTTAAGTCCCATTATTGATCATTCCAATAATGGTAAATGGTGCATGTTAGTTGATAGTACAGTAAATGATAAAATCAAACTAAATTATAGATTCCCCATATAGTGGTTAAAATATTTTATGCAAAAACTGCATGGTGCGACTTGTGAAAGGCTATACAAATGGCGTGTCACGGCTTTCAATCTATGCAATGCACCCCATGCCTTCATACAAGTGATGAAAGAGATACTAAACCATTTATTGGTTACTTTCCCATTGTGTATTTTGAGGATATCCTATTTTTAAGTGCATTTATGCTTGATCACTTAAACTATCTTAAACTGCTCTTTGCCGTATTGTGTGATAAAAAACAATATATTAATCTATCCAAATGTGAATTTGTTATTGGGAAAGTACATTTCTTGGGTTTACTGTTGGCGGTAAAGGCAAATATACAAATCTAAAGAAGGTTGATGCAATTCGATCATGGCCAACTTCCAGCACATTCACACCAGTTGTTTGTGTCTTCCACAGCCTTGCAAAATTTAATCATCATTTCATGTGGATTCAAATAATGGCCCCAATTATTAATTGCTTGAAAAAGAGAGAATAATTCCCTTGAAAGCCAGAACAAAAGACGATCTTTGATAACAATAATAAAAACTTTTACTCTATCCTTATGATACCATTCTAGGTCTCCTAGAAGGTTTTAGGAAGCCGATTTAGTAGGGAAATGGTTGTGGGATAGTAAGGGAGGGGGAATATGGGAGGTCGACTGCATTTGGAAGAGGCAAAATGCAAAATCTGTTGTTAGACAACAGCTTCAACGTCGATCATTGGTAGTCTCGGCAGAAAACAGCTAGGCAAATGACAGAACGGCTTGATATGGGGGTTAAGGAGGTTCACCACATGTTCCTGCACAAGCTAAAGGCACCACTTTCAAAAGGAATAGGATACAACAGTCCTTAGGGAAGAAATCAGAGATACAATCTCCAAACACATAAAAAATAGCCAAAAGTTTGTTGAACCAGAAAATAGCAACATATAAATAGTTCCAAATAGAAAATAACCCTAATTAGAAATAGGAAAAATAGAAAATAAGGCAAAAAAGATAAGATATCTAGTAGAAATTGGAGGCCAAGCAGAAACAGCTCGTTCGGTCTACTGCGGCTGCAGAAAATCCTAATTCCGCGGGATTATGGGATCTCGCGATCGCGAGATCATGAGATCTTTGATCCCACGATTATGCGGTGAGCTCCTGCATTAATCTCCTCGACTAGGAGAGGCTCATTCTTCTTCTTTAGGAGAACATGGATCCCATTACGGGATGTTACTTCCCAAAAAAACCAAAGAGGATTTTCACAGGTGTGGTTCACCACTCCTATCTAGTCATTTGTTTGTGGGTACGCAACTTAACTGAACTGGAACTTAGTACTTAGTTTATTTCATAGAATCTTCCCAAAATAAATCAACAATTTTTTATTTCTATCTAAAGTGATGACAGACAGGACATCACTAAGTAGCGCCAACCTATGGGGTAAGTTGTAGGTCAGAAAATCCTGAAATCCACTTAGTTGGGGTTGGCATGTATCCACGTCCAGGTAGGCAAGTGTTCTCAAATTTATTATGAGATTTTACACATATTTACATCCAAGTAGACAAGTGTTCCCAAATTTATTATGTTGATCGATGCCTCGAGATGAACAAGAACTCTGAACACCCTAATCTTCTCACATTTACAAAAAATGTGAAGAGATATGTTATGATTGATCGACCCTAGCAGAATCATTAACAAAGATCGCTAAGCTAGCAACTTCATCAAAGTGATTCACTACTCTATCTAAGGCAACATACATCAGTTGAGACAAACAGATTTCAGTGTTTAGTAAGAGTTTAATTAATGATTCAATTATCTTTTTGAATAAGATGAGAGCATCATAAATGTTGAGTTTAGTTGATGATTTTCTTAATGGTGCAACAAGTTATAGTCAACTTTAGGC